TAAGTTTGCCACCTGAAACAATCATCCACACACATGACATGCAAGAGAGTGAAGACAGTAAGGAAGAAAGCTCACACCCAGAACAGGGAATAAAAGGTGAGATTGAACCTGTTGAGCTGCAGACAGATAGTGAAGCTCCATCTACACCTGAGAAAAAGGAAACTCCTGAGGAGGAGAGAGAGCTACCGAGGAGATCTGCAAGGGAACGCAGACAACCTGAGAGGTATAAGCCAGAAATATTTAACTGTGTGAATATAGAAGAGCCTGTGAAAAATAAAAATAAATGTAAGTTGCCTAAGTCTGGGCAGGATAAGTGTAACAAAGCATTGGAGAAGGAGATAAAGTCTCTGAAAAGACTCAAGGTGTATGAAAAGGCATATACAATGCTGGGTATGAAATGAAAATGCAGTGAAATGTATAAAGTGATGGAAAATGTGTGAAATGCAAATGTAAAGCATGTAATGCAAAGTGGTGAAATGTAACTGCAATAATTTAAAGAAAGTGTATATGTAAAGCATTTAACAATTTGGAGGAGATTGACAGGGTTTGGATAAACCTGAAATTGTTAAATGCAATTTAGTACCAAGATGTATTTACAAGGATCAGCACTGCAAAGGAAACTCAAGCATGAGTAAAAACAGCTGTGTTACAATGTACCAGAAGGGTGGCTATGATTGGTTAACTCTGGTATATAGCTTGAGAACTAGAACACAACCGTTTGGGTTGTTGGTGGGCTGTTGATGGGTCGTTGCTGTGTGCTGTGTCATCGTGAAGTGCTGTAGCCGTGCCTGAGAGTTCAGAGGAAGCCGTACCTACGTGCTTGGAGAGTGGAACGCTGGCAGAACGGACTGATATATGGTATATGACTATTTACTGGACTATGACACTGATTTAAGGCTCTGTGACTGTGAAAATGCCGTGTATAGAACAAGGACTGAAGCTGTAAATATCTGTAAATATTCTGCATATAAACCAAGCATTTCTGCTACAAGAGTGTTTGCTGACTGTGTCTGCACTTCACTGGGAATTCTGCCGGTTATCACCACCTGGGAAAAACCTGGTAAAATTCCGCTAACTCTGTCAGTATGGTGGTTTGGTTACTGATGCAGACGGTTGTGATGGTGGGGTTGGAGATACACTTGATACTGGCCGCTGTTCAATGTCAGGAGGAGGGGGGCTCCCTTGTAGGTGGTGGTAACCTGGAGAGATGTGTGATGTTGAGAATATCTGAAAGAGTGATTAGCTCATTTGGGTTGTGGTGAGAATCTGGTACGAGGAGAGCACATTTGAGAGCTGATTTTGTAGGGACCGATGTATGATGAATGAATGATGCCAGTGTTGTGGCGGTGAAGGTGATATGGAAGGTGAGTATCAGGGTGGCGAGGCATATCACATCCTTCTTGGTTCATCATAATAGACATGTTCAGTCTGGTCTTCATGATAGTAGGGGTCATAGAGGTAGTATTGATCCCCATAGTCATCTCGAGTTGGGTAGTGAGACGGTTCATGATAATAGTAAATTTCCCTACATGGAGGGTCATATTGGACTGGAGAAAAGTGTCGTCCCTTCGCCCAAGATTTGTGGAGAGACTGATGAGATGATTCCAAGTCAGATATCTGAATAGGTATTGCCCACCCTGATGATCTAGGGCTTGAATGGGCCAAGGCTGGGCTGGAATGAACATCAGCCAGAGATAGGCCAGTACTCGGCAAGAGTCTGGTAATGGAAGCTGCACCCTGAGCCAGTTTTAAAGTTGTGTCGTCTCTATCTGAAATTTAGCCAAGGCATCTCTAGATGACGCAAGGATCAGTGATGGAGGCCCAAGTTGAGGTGGATCTATTTGCGTTGATTTCATAGGCTTCTTAGGTTTCGCCTTATCCTTCTTTTTCCTAGACGAGCCATCAGGACGAATTGGAGCTTTCGAAGTGGACATTGAGCTCGATTTCGAAGCAGACTTTAAAAGATCTTTATGACAAGGTGATGGAGTTGTCAGGCTCGATATTGGGTGAGTAGTTTCTCGATGCTTTGGACGCGGAGTTGGAGCGGTTGGTGGGTCCATGGGGGCCAGATTGAGAGACTTTGCCCAAAGGTATGAGCAAAGCCTTTGTAGGCATAGTTTTAGAGCGGGTCTTGTAAGTTTTTTTGCACTCAGGGCAGGAGTGTATTTGGTGCTGTTCCCCTAAGCAAAAAAGGCAACGGTTGTGACCATTGTTAAGTGATATCTTATTTGTGAAAAGCACGCACCACATGAAAGGCCCTGGGGGGCATTAAAAGTTGGAGGGAAAGGGAGGGAAAAGTGGTGATGGGAGGCAGAAAAAATGTGGGTAGAAGAGAAAAAGGAAAAAAATGGATAACTTACAAGGGGAACGTCCAACAAATATATGACTGAAATAGAAAATGAAAGAAATGATTGAAAGAATCAGTAAATGATCTCAATAATCGCTCTAGAGTTCTGAAACAGGTCCAACCAAAGCAGCGGCAAAAAGGAACGGAGGGGACCTTTGGAGGGCGGAGCATGTGCTCCACGGGGGAACGTCCTACTAATGACATCTTTAAGCTCTACAAACTTCCAAGACGTCCTGCGTAGGCGCGTAACAACCCAATTGTGTGCATTCACAGAGGCCATGAACAAAACGTGTCAGTCTCCAATAATTTCGGGACCTAACTATGTTTTTTTTAAAATAAAGGGCTAACTGTGGCTGATATAATTTCATCTGGTACTTCAATACAAGTTATTTTGCTTTACACTTTTTATTTTCTCATTGTACTGTATTGTGTTAGAAATGCATTGATTTTGCTTTCACATTGCCTCTTCATTTCGTTGATCTTATTTCCTGTTTACCTGCTGTGCTTCTAATAAATCTTCAAATTAATTGCACCTGCTGATAGCCTCAGGTAATCTCTGGTTACACCTTTCATCCACTAGGCATATAAAGCACCTAATTTTCATGGACAGCCAAATAGTCTTCATCACTAGACCTTTAATAGATATAGCAAAGAACATAACACTATACTGTGGGATCTAGTGTCTCTGCCCCTCTGAGTATCAGCTCCTTAAAATTTGAGAATAATTTTCATTGCTAAATATTCCTTGAACACAGAACACTGTATAAAACATTAGAATTGTGTCCAGGAAATCTACATTTTTGAAATCTTGTAAATCTGAATTTACTGCCAGTATGCCTCTTCGTTCAAAAAGTGGGAGCTTGAAACAAAAAATGCTGTATCTTTTATGAGAAGCAAATTGAATAAAGCTTTGAAATAAGAATAAGCCAAGTTCAAAGGAAGCGGCAAAATATTTCTTCTTCTTTCTTTTTTGCTCAGAAAACCAACCACATACCAAATATCTCCAAAGCAATTAAAAAGTGAATAATTCTGTTAGGCAATGAGGTGGCCTTTTCAGGGCCTGAAATTTTTAAACTAAAACCTAAATTAAGTTCGCATTTATTTTTCTAATGAACTGATTCACAAATCAGAAGTATCTAACTACTTCAAAATCACAAAAGGCTTGATTGCAAGGAAGGCTTGCAAACACAAAAGCCCATTCCAAAATTTTATGAAAATGGAAAATCTGAAAGTGAGATTATGCCCTTGAAGAATATGAGATTGATGCTATTATCAGTGAGCTAGAATGGTTACTGACTTTTATTGTGCAAGTATGCACAGAAAGTATTGTGGAAGAAATTACTGTCTCAGTAATCAATCTTGTAGTTTTATAGCATGCAGTATTAATATATTAAAACAAGGAGGCTACAATCCACATATTTCTGTAGATGTGCCAAGCAGTTTGACATAAGCACAATGGTTTCTACAATTTTCGCCTTCCAAGTTTTAGAACCTCTTACAGTACCAGTCACAGAGACAGCCAACTACCTGAAGACTGCGAAACAGGTTGTGGTTTAAACTGCCCCATTGCATATATGAGCACATTACAGGGAAAAATAGTTTTTCCCTTAAACAATCACCACTTGATAATGCAATTCATTCTAAAACATAACAAGGGTAAAAGATTATGACATTTACTCACATGAATTTTATCTAAATCAAATTGTTTGGATTAGGTACCAATTTACCAATGCATTTTCTGGAGCTAACATCTGAACCATAGTTAGTAAATACTAAAGACCAACCAGACACAAATCTGTTTTCCACATTTCCACTATCTAAAGCTAAGTGGCTTTGAATTTAAAGAAAAGTAAACAATTCATTTTTCCTTATTTAATAAATAATATCAAAAAGTGAACTAGTTCATATTTACAGCATTGGAATAAAAAACAGTCTTGTCTAACTTCTGCAATCTGTACAAGTATTAAGAGATTCCATATCCAGTTTGAATGGAGTCCAGAGTACAGGTCCTTGCAATTACTGTTGACTTCTATGGATCTGTTCTGCTGTTCTGCTTCCATAGATCATCTCATTGTCCCGTCAGAAAGAAACTGACTTCTTATATGCAGAAATGCATCAACATTTCACCATGTTTGCAATCTCAACATCATACATGTACTTTTATGAATTAATCACATGAAAAGTAACAAATTTAAATCTTCACAAGCCTCAGTGATGTTTATAAAACCATATATTGAATATGCAAATTACACATTGCACATGTGACAACACACTTCATGTTGTTTACATTTATTTTTATTTATTCCTGCAAACCGGTCATACTGAAGACTTCCATATTTTTGATAAAATATGAAATGGAGTAGATTCGTTTTCCTACAAAATTATGGTGAAGACTCAATGAGTCTTCTATCTTATTGCTACGAAACTTTATAGGTGCAGTTTGTAAAATAAAACCCTTTAAGGACTGAACGAGTGTGTACAAACACAAGATACACAAACACAGAGCTTTAAAATGCATTATAACTAGAGGCCAACATCCGTTTTGTCCAGAATATGCCTCATCACTATTACACCAGAACCAACCACATACTAGTTTACTCAGAAGTAACTGCATCCAGTGAGACTTGCTTCCATGTAATATTTGCAGCCTTGATTGTTTACCTGGGGCTGCTGGTGCACCTGTTCTCCTCACTGCATCTGTCTTCCCTTCAGCCTTTATACTACCTTCTTAAGGAAGCCATTTGTCATTTATACTGGAAGCAGCAGACTTAGCCGATATCGCCACCAGGATAAATAATTAATCTGTAACTATGGGTACAACATGAGAGGTTGACTGAGCAGAAGGTGTACTGAAACAGCCTTTTTCCACCTGGAGAATTTGTGAGGTAGCCATTGAACATGGTTCTTTGGGAGGAAACCCACCAAATTCCATACAACTTGCTTCCAAATAAATATAAGATTGGGATGTAAACACATTTCTCTCCCCCTTCCCAATCTCCTCCCAGGCTAATCTTTCTACTGCCAAGGCTTCACCTCCACAGGCGCAACAGAATAAAAGGAATATAATCTAAGGCCAAAATAGGAACTTCATCTGGGGATGGGTGGGCTCACAGAACATTCACAATGCTGTTGTAGCTCCTCAATATTGCAGTTTCCATGGAGAGAGAGAAACATTTCAGTTCCAGAAAAGGTTAGAGAGAGAAACCTGACTTCTGTTTCCGACACAAAGCTGCCACTCAGTCCCACATTTACAGTGTCTGAAAACAAGTTAAAACATCTGACATAGGAAAATACAAATATTCTAGACTCATCATATGCACAGCTTTTGAAAGGAAATAAAATCCCAGTAAATAGCATGATTAATAATTAAGTATTTTGTTTCAGAATGGAAGCAACTATGAAGCCATTTGGTCTGAAACATGTTGTAAGGTTGTCAGAGATGTATTTTAAAAATTCTACTCACTGAGACACATGTCTACACACTGACCTGTAGAAAGTATACACCAGAAAGTTTAACATTTACTAAACTGTAAGAGCAGTAATTAAATTTTAATCTTCTCCAGTCCAAACAGAGCATATCACTTATTCTAATTGAAAATAAAGCAAATCAGGCAGTGTGATCCCAGTCAGAATAGGAGGAACCCTCAACATTTCCCAGAAAAGACCAGGTTACATGATCAGCAGAATCAAGTGGTAAAAGTTCTTCCTAAATTGTACCATTGATGATGGCATACAGCCTGCTTCCTAGAAAGAAGGGCCCTCTTCCTTTACATAGTAATCTACCATGACTAGGCTTAACAAAATCTTTTCTCCAAACATGCTAGCCTTCTACAGGCTTGAAGATTCTGAATCTTCAAACATGCACTCCTTCCCACTTGCAGTCCAAAGCAATTTGCTGCCCAGAAAAATAATTATTCAGCCAATTGTACTGGATAGCCCTACACAAGGAAACAAGAGCTATGAGAGGACACTGTTTCAAATTCTGCTGGCTACAATTGTGAAGCTAGAATTGTCTTCCTGGTTATTTTGAGGCTGCCCATTTGGGCTGACAGGCTTATTCTAGAGGCAGACAATTTCAGAATGGTAGTTTTTTCATCTCCAGAATTATTTGAAAAAGGATTGAAAAGTTAGCTAGATGATTTAGATTACCAGGGCTCCTAATATAAGAGGTGAACGGAATACCCCTCTATTAAAGTGGGTAACAGGAAAAGGTTCAAAAGGAAATGTTTCTTCATTGAGAACCTCTTCAGCTGGAACACTACCGTCAATCTCCTAATTTTGCTCAGAAGGAAATCGAATTGTGAAAAATCTACAAGAATGATGCATTTGAAGCTTCCAAGCTACTGCTGACCATTGAATTTATGCCCCCTTTCCCAACATTCTCTCACTCTGTAGTGTAAAAAAGGAAGAACAAACTTAGATGTGATCTGCTAGATTCCTTAAAAGATACAAACACGAAATATATATACCAATGCAAGGCAAAGAGATATGCACAAAGTCAACTTGGGATGTTGAAATACATCGGGAAAAGTCTGAACAATTTCCTGACAGAGGGATCAATCCAAATTTTAGTCACTATTAGAATGCATCCATTGAATCAATCAATGGAACATATGTGAAAACTTAAGAAATCCTATTCTTTCAATGGGTCTACTCTCAGTAGTACAAACAATCAGACAGCCTATGTTCTGTGAAAGCTGAAAGGCTTGTAACAATTTAAAATTTTGATACTTATTTTCTCTGAAGTTACAGAACACCTGGAATATTATTTTGTGATCCCAAAGGTAGTTGAGTAAAACAAGTTGAACAGTACTGCACAACACTTAATATATCTTCAACATACACTGTGAAGCAATTTCTGTCATATACAGGGAAAATATTAAACACAGACAAGTATACAGGCTTGCAAGTAAATGCCAGTAAACAGCTTAAACTAGAGATAAGGCCACAATGATTCCTGCCCTTGGCTCACTGAAAAGCGAGATGAGGCCAGGCAGTAAAATATTAAGAATCAGCTGTATGCAAAAATGTTGTCCAAAAAAGTTTAAGCAGTATAAAAAAGTGGAGGAGCACAGAGAAAGGCCTACAATGGAAGAAAACATGCTTTAATACAGTGGCAGTGTTCAAACCAAATGTGTTTAGCAGCTGCACTCCTTTAACTATACAGTCTTCAAATGGGGAAAATATACTTCAGAGACACTAAACAAGAGTGCCAATAATTAAAATTGATAACTGTATAGAAGCAATGAATTATTTTCACCTTGTAACGAGGCATGGGTTCATATTACCCACTGCCAAGTGTCTTCTTCAAAGAACAATAAAGATTTACATAGAATTCAAACTTTTCATTTAAGAGTAAAGGGAAAGAGAAAGGGAGACAGAGGACTAATGTTTACTACTGAGCTGATCACAGTGCTGTACTGGTGAACAAACTGAAAATTTACCATTCTGAATGCAAAAAAAAACAGAGTAGATGATGAAGGGAAGATGAATTCCAAATTAAAAGTACCAATGATAGGCATGTAGTGCAACTCAAAGCCCATATTAACCACTTTTTCTCTTCCACTAGTGGGGTTTGGCAATCAGGTCCCTGGCAAGACTGATGTGAATATGTAGCCTTGTAACTAGGCCTAATGTTTGTGGAGTTTCGGCAGCATATAGCAGCCTATGAAGTTGGATCATTAAGGTAGTCAGAATTATAATGGCAGGGGAAGGTAACAACCAGAATCCAAAAAGTGATGCACCATTCAGACATGCACTAGACTTTTTCATGAATGTACTACAGTAAGTTGGGTCCTGTGAAAAGTGATGCCTGAAATTTCGAGGACCCTCCACAGTGGCTTCTGGTGTAGCCTGAAAGAATATATAGTAAGAGAATTTATCAGCTGAATATCTATGAAGAAGCATAGACATTATTGTATGTATATTCTCTTGGAGATTCTGGTCACCATGAATTGGACCCATTCACAAAAACTTCTCACAAGGAGGTTTCAAAAAGCACTTTGGAAAAGAGAAGCAAGCAGTGGTGTAAACTGACTCTCTCTTAGCATGCATTTTGAAGATCTGAGCATTGCACTAGACTGTTGGCAAGGAAGAGAGAGAGGAAAAGTATAATCCACTTCAGTGCTTTTGTGATCAGCTATTACTAAATACTATCATTTAACTGTACAATCACTTTACACTCAAAGAAAACATACCATATAGAGGACTAGTTCATGAGTTTGGCCTAATGCCAGAGGACAGCCATGGTAGTTTCTGACGGGCCTCAATTCACAATGAAGAAGTGCACCTATCAATCCTGTTTGTGGCCAATATTTTTAAAATGTCATGTGCTGAAACAAAAAAAACATGCTGCCAAATGAAGTTTTGGAAACAGTCCACTCAAAGAAAAAGAAATCACACGCACATTTAACTTACACTTGATAGCAAATTATGTACACGATTAGCAACAACAAAAAGCCAACTTGAAGAAATCCTGAAAATATTTTCTGATGCAGGTACTGACTATGAAAGGGGAAAAGGCCCTTTTAAAACATCAACATATGCCAGTAGGAGGAGCAGTTTGATAAACTGCACAAGAGGCCACATTTGTAATGTAAAAAACCTCATGATTCAACACTATAAATACTTTTAAAAGAAACATACAAAAAGAACTATCCACAATGACAGAAATAGGAGCTCTAAACATACATTGCATGTATTGCGGGCAAGGCAGAGGCATTTTAAAGCTTTTGCACAAACTTCATATAATCTTAAAAAAAATATGCTGGCCTTTACAAGGTTCTACTTGCTGAAAATAAAAACAAAAAATTCAGTTCATAAAAAGTCACAAGACTTCAGTTTAAAAAAATGCAACAGTTCCAGCCACAGACCAAAAATATATATATATATATATTTTAAAAACTGGAAGAGTATGGTAATTAGATTATACAAGCATGGTCAGGCTTGGAACCTGAATATACTTCAGAGCAAATGCTCAGAGAAAAAAAATATATAAACTATTTGGTAACAAAAGTGTACTATATGTTGTGATACAAAAAGGCATGGTGAAAATGTACCTTTTATACTAAAGTGTTTCTTGGTCCATAAAAACTATGTTAATATCCATGTGTTCTAGTTCAACTCGAATCCCAGCCACTTTTGTTTTGTTTTTAATATCATGCCCATTTTTAAGAGACAACTGAAAACAGGTTTCGAATGTAGGGGCTTTTCTCTCCCCATGCACTGTTTTTTTTTTTTATTGTGGCTTCTACTGAGATCAGCACTTATAGGTGATAAATGTTCAAAGAGCAGTGAGGAGGTTTCCCCCATGAAACCACAAAAGTTGTTTAGTTTCATTCTTTGAAGCACTTGAATGTCAATATCAATTAAGAAGTTCCACACAAAGAGCAGTGGTTAGGAAACGACTGTTGCTGCTGCTGATGTGACATTGGTTGGGTTTGTGCTGACGTTTGTGTAACTTCCCTCGCTGTTTGTGTTTGTTTCACTGGATGCCAGGAGACTTGAATTGGCTCTGAGGATTGCTCCAGCAGCGCTGCAGTGGGGTCGTGGTCCTGGCTCTGGTGTGTATGTAAATGTAAGGCTGGTAGAGTAGATTATGCCATCATTGCGGACCAATGTGACTGGAACCTGGACTGGCTGACGGACCCACCTCCAGCCTTCCCGGAATGCAGAAATGTCAGGAACGACACACAGCATGCTCTCTGCACATCTGGGGAAAAGGGGGGGGAGGGGAATGAATTAGTTTCATTCTAACGTCAAAAAAGGAACTGTGCAAATCCTGGCTGTCCCACAGGAAAAAACAAATCTAAACCTTGGCAACTTAAATTCTGCAACAAGAAAGGATGGTATTTTTAATCAGAGAAATAAAGGAAGTGGATATTAGCTTTATTACTTATGTGGCACCTTTCTTAGTCTCCAATAGCAAAAACAAAGAGTCTTGTAGCACTTTCAAGAATAACAGTTTTATTTGGCGTCCATTTTCATGGATTGTAGCCCATTTCCTCACACATTTGAAGAAGTAGTTTACTGTTCATGAAAGCTTATGCTAAATAAATCTTGTTCATATGTAAGATATCACAATATGTCTTCCAGTTTTTATTGTTTTCATTATCAAAAACTTCAGAACAACATACATTTCTTCTTATTTTGCTCCAAATGGGGTGGGCAAATAAGAATTACCCCCATCAGGTTGCAATCTCCAGTCATCTCGATGTTAAATTTCAGCAGCTATTAACTGAAATAAATTGTCACATCCCTTTGCAGCCAATAAGCACAAAAAATCAGTTTAAAAACATATTTTAACAGCTAAGATATTCAAGAACCTGTATGCTACTTCCCTTAACTCCATTCTATACTTCGCTGTTGTTCCACAAAAGCAAAGCATACATAAAACTAGTAATTATGTTTTAGGCCTCTTAGAGCTACTAGCTTTTTCAATTTTACACTGTAATATTGTGCTGTTTCCTATGAATTAAATCAAATTGGTAAACAAAATCACAACCATTTATTTTCTTAGGCTAGTTGGAGACTTTTTGTAAAACAGAAATCCCCCCCCAACATTTTAAAGACAAACTCCTGAATTACAATTCCAAAGAGTATTCATATACAGGTTTTGCAAACATGCAAATATTAAAATTCAATTATCCAGACTTAGTGATCAAAAAGCTTAAAATTATATAGTTCAGATTCTGCTTTAATCCAAAGGCAATCCACACCAGCATTTTGTGAACTATTACATGAAGGTTGCAAGGACAATACCACACCTGTACATTGTTTCAGCTTCCACATCCCCAAACCAGACACGTAAATTTGGAGTGAAGTTTTGCCCAGTTAGTTCCAGCATTGCTACATCACCACCACCATTCAACTGACAAAGGAAAGAAAATATAAAATTAAACAAAATTAAGAAAATATAAAATTAAACAATTTCATGAGCATTTTCAGGGTTTTCTACCTACTTGGAAGTAGGTTACTAAATCCTCCTACTGGGTGCCCTATAACAGTGGTCCCTAACCTTGGGCCTCCAGATGTTCTTGGACTGCACCTCCCAGAAATCCTGGCCAGCAGAGGTGATGGTGATGGCTCCTAGGAGTTATAGTCCAAGAATATCTGGAGGCCCAAGGTTGGGGACCGCTGACCTATAGGACCATGTAACTTGTCTACAATTATATAGGCTGGCTCTTCTCTTACGAGACACAGTGGGAAACTGAACTCCAAATTTCAAAGACATTGGTTTGGAAATAGGCTCATTTCAAATAAGCAATAGCAAGGTTAACTGCAATTCATAATTTGAAGATATACCTAACTAATCTAATTAATCTAAGAACTTCCAATATCCCCCTTGTAACTGAACTGCTCCTCCTTGTAACTACACTGCTCAAAGAGGAGAAAAAATTGCACAAGCCCAAGATTGACTGCAGTTTATTCCTATAATACTACACTATGGTCCAAACCAGTGGTTCCCAACTGTTCTTGGACTGCAACTCCCAGAAGTCTTCACCACTAACTGTGTTAGTTGGAGTTTCTGGGAGTTGCAGTCCAAGAACACTGGGCTTCGGAACCACTGCTCTAGAGCATAAGACTCAGACTAAAGAAATCCAAGCTTGGCTGTGTAGCTTACCGGAGAGCCTGGGACAAATGATACACACTCTAACTAATCTCACAGAGTTGAGGATATCTGGAAGAGAAACCATTATGCCAGATGCATATATATTTCTTTGAAATATCTACAATACTTCTCAAATATTTTACCATAAACAATCTGAAACAAGGGGGCAGGGAAAATGTAACAAGTAGACACACAAACAATTCAAGTAACTAAATAAGATGAAGAATTGGCAGTTGCTCTTTGATGAGGTGATAAATGTGCAGTATGCAACTGAGCTCTTGAGTGTTCTAAAAACAAAGAACTGTCAGCTGCCTTTTTAAAAGGAAATTCTTGTTTACTTGAAAATGCCCTCACCCTTACTTCATGGATGCATGGATAGATGCATATGAGAATAAATATGAAGCAGAGAATAAGAGCATCGCTGAATCATGCAGACCTCTAAATAAATTTTCATGCTGAACTTCCCCACCAATTCCCAGGCTTAATTTTTGTGACCATATGCACAATGACTAGATATCTCATTCAAAGCCAAACATGTAGATCTCACTATAGCTCAGGCACTATATAAACACTGAAACCTGGTTTGTATTCCTTGCTTCATGCTGGATATTCCATCTGAAAATCAGTCGGGGGACTACTTACCTGAAGACTTTCTACAACAGGCACCGGTGTTACTGGAGCATGGACAGGTCCCATTCCTTCATAAAAGGTATACTCTGCTTTATCTGTGCTAATGATTGTCCATGAAGCTCCATCATTAATCATCTCTTTATTTGGCTCTTTGGGACATGGAGTGGCCTTTTTCAAGAAAAAAATATATGAAGTTTAATAATGTTGAGACCCTTCTCTTAGAAACTTGCCAGGAGGCGCATTAAGATGTGAGGTATCAGGAAAGTGTTTATTAATACTAGCAGGGAAATACATACAAGGCAGAAGTCTGAGTACGAGAATGCATTGGATAGTTCACTAGCAGGGAAATACATACAAGGCAGTCTGAGTACGAGAATGCATTGGATAGTTTTTATAGGAAGTTAAACCAAGCATCATAAACAAAGTAAAATAAACTAGATTTTTTTAAGTAGTCTTTTCTTACAGGATGTACCCAGCTGAAACATTCTTTTGGTATCTGGTCTATACATCCAACATGACAGAGTGAATCTGGTACCTTCTCAGGCAATGGTGTTCTTGGCATGTCTATTCAAAGAATAGCATGGCTGTGTTAATTGTTTTATGAGGCCTTATTCACAACAAAAAAGATTCAGGAATGCCTATATGTCTTCACACTTTGTAGAGAATTGCCGCTAGCCATAATACTTTGGACTTAGCTATATACTACAAGGAATATCTGTTGTCACCTGTCATCAACTCACCTCTAACTTACGATGGCCCTACACATGAGTTATCTCCAAAATGTCCTGTCCTCAACAGCCCTGCTCAGCTCTTATAAACTCAAGGCTATGGCTTCTTTTAAGGGCTCAATTAATCTCATACTTCCTCTTTTCTTCCTGCCTTCAACTTTTCTAAGCATTCCAAGAAGAGTTCAATGGCTATTTTAGTACGTTAATATATTTGTTATAAAACATATGGTTATACATTAAGTGTTACACTGAGGAGGGATTTTCTCAATAGAATAATGAAAGCACTTCATGTAGAGCAGGGGTGGACAATTAAGTTCTACAGGGGGCCACATGAAAAATCTGCTGTGTTCGGGGGCTGAACCAACTTTACTTAAAAACAAAATGAAACAGTGATGTTATGATTGTTTTTATTTTAAATTTGTTAATCTTCACAAATACTAAAGAGATTTTTTGCGGTATGTTAAAGATAAGCAACTGATCAACTTTAGACAAAAAGCTATAAAAGGTTTTGTTGTCCGGTGGGCTGGACAGAAGCGGCTCGCAGGCCGTATGTGGCCTTCGCGCAGCACTTTGCCCAGGTCTGATGTAGAGGCATGCAGTTTGTTTCTAACATGGAAAACAGAAGGCTTTTTGAGCTACATATTCTCAATAGAGACAGAATGTTTTATTTGGGGGGTGCTCTTTCCCCCTTTCATACCCCACGTACTCTAACCAATCATCCAGTCATCCATACATAATCTTCTTGTTGTTTAGTCGTTAAGTCGTGTCCGACTCTTTGTGACCCCATGGACCAGAGCACACCAGGCCCTCCTGTCTTCATACATAATCTACTCAAGCTTATCAGCAGGGTGAGAAATTAATACCTCCAGGTGAAGCATATAGATGTCCAGTTCCCTATCTGTTTGTAATCAGTCACTCAACTTAGATGCAAAAACCCGTTAAATTGCGTTTATTTTCTTACATTTTTCAGTGATACATAAAGAAGGTACAGATCAATCAGAAATCCAAAACTATAGACCAATTTCGTTATTGAGTGAAGACCTTTCTTTAGCACTCTTGGACTCAGCAAGTTCCAACTACATCAGGAAGCATATAATGTGCTGCTATGCTCCACCAAAGCCAGCAGATTTTTCTGACTACGAGATACAACATCATCTGCACTAGCACAGCTGCAAAGAGAATACATTGCCACACACTACTGTGAGATTACGCTAGCATGCACACATATCTATCAAGTAACTCACTTGAAATTGGATAATTCGCTCTTGCGAAAGGCACAAGTACATTCGTTCAGTATCTTTAAGGTAGAATGCACATTTATGGAGCTGCGATACTGGATCATCTGCATCTAATAATGCGGTCTGTTTGTCCACTTTCCGAATTATCTGAGGATAGAAATACATACACATATTTTGAATTCAAATGTTACTTCTTAGCACTGAAAGGTATGAGTTTCACCACTTATCAGTACCTAATACAATTATGTATTTAACATCAAAATAGAGCAGTGATTTCCAACCTTGGCTTTCCAGATGTTCTTGGACTAAACTCCTAGAAGCCACTGCCACTAGCTATGCTGGCCAGGATTTCTGGGAGTTGTCCAAGAATATTTGGAGACCCAAGGCTGGCAACCCACTAAATCAAATTACAAGAGGCATACATCATATAGATACTGCTGGTCCCAATTATTACATAGTGGGATGTTACACTGGTATAATACAAATAACTTTTGGAGACAGATTGCCTCATGTTCAGAAATCATTATTAGCATTATCTGTTGTCTGCCAAGTTGCGCAGTAGTACCTATAATGATTTCTTGAGGCATTTTAACTCCCAAAATTCTACAATTTGTATTATGCTTGCAGGCACTTCTAAAAAGATTTTGGCCCATCTGTATTTATTCAGGGCTTTCAGATATCATTAAACTTGATATACAATATATACAGATTTTCAGTCCTTACAACTCTGTAAGGGTGGCTAGTATTGCTATAAGGAGAGAAGGTCAATATCAAGTAGATAAATGATAGAATTCACATTTGAATTCGGCGCTGCTCATTTTAGACTTCATTCTCCTAAACATTGTGCTATTCATTAACAAACATTCCATAAAGTGCTTTAATTTAACCATATGAATACACAGGTTTGGACTTTTCACAGGTGCCTTCCATTGTACTGCATTAATGCACCTTACACAGAACTAATGATAAAGCAAAAGTATAGAATGAAGTTCAGTCACTAAACTTAATAGTTATCTGAAGATCAATTATCACTCAAAATCTATAATCCTCATTCTCTATTCTTTAATAAATCAAATAATTTTAACTATTTATAAAAGTGATAGTTGTTACATTTAGTAAATTAAATATACCAGTCTTGGGAGTGCCATGCCAGTAACTGAACACACAAGTTTGACAGTTTGGCCATAATGAATATAGCCATCTCGAACTGTGAATTCTTCTCCTTCTGATTCATCATCATCCACTGTACAGAAGAGAAAGTTTTAATATGTCAGAAAATCAAATGATCTCAAAAGCAAGTATGTAAATACTTTATTCATGGATGTACACAGCAAGGACAGAATGTGGATTTTCAGCAGTTTAGGCATTACTTACAGAGATGAATGTAAAATGCTCCCCACTGCTGTGAGCTCGCATGAAAGTTTCCTCCTTCTACATGCAAGTATCTGGTACTAACCGTCTGTGACCGAAGTCTATTAAACAGTGCCACTTTTGTCCCTGATGCAATGCATACTGCAAAAAGAAACAATAAAGAATAAGTAGACTTAAACATGCCACTCTTTACATAGCCCTGCCAGTGGAAAAGTCTGCATTTTAAGTTGATGTCTATACAGGCTCCAATAGGAATTCTATGTCACATGCCAAAGGATGTAAATCTTTCAAAAGTGCTGCTCCTTGTCTTGATGGAAAGCTTATTTTGAAACCTTAAAGTCAAGCTTTTCAAAATAAAATATAAACCTCACACAATAATTTTAACTGTCTTACTATGGTCAATTATAAATTCCCACTGGCAGCTTTCAAAATCCAAACTCAAGCTTCAAACATGGTTCATATTGTTTCACATGAACCCACCTTGCTGACGTTAAGTATCTGTGGGTCTAGTCAATGTCTGGATGGGAGATTACATTTGCACCACATAATCAGCAATTTCTTTTATAAGTTACAACACCCCAAATTCTGGTTTAGATGCTATTACAAAACAACTGAGTAGCAAAACGACAGCATCAGACAAGCATCTACAGATCCTATTTTGCTGGCAGCATATAGAATAGAATAGAATTTATTATGGTCAGGTGACCAGCCCACAAAACATACAAAATACAGTTTTGGCTAAAACATACAAAATACAGTTCAAAGATATACAAACAATTCACAAAACATACCATGTGGCCAAAATACACAAAATGCAGTTCAAAAGTGTATACCCAATCCATAAAACACACTACATGGTCAAAACACACAAAATGCAATTTAAAAAGTGCACAACGAACAATCAACCGTGCACTGGTTGTAAAACACAGGCACAGTAAAACACAGCACCTCTACAGCTATCCCCCGGGCCATTTTCCATTTGGTTGGGGCCACAACACCTCTTCATGCTAGACAATAAACCACCCCCATGCCAAAACCAGTCAACCCATGAACTCAGGAGACTACAAGGGAGTGTTGTGCCATTGCTGCTGCACAAAATCTTGCTGCAGAGCATGTAGTAAGGGAGTCTTGATCAGAAAGAAGTAGCCTGATGTAAAATTCAACTGGTCTCCCAGGATATCTGAGAATGATTAGGCGCAGGAGGTTCATGCATAGATCTCTATAGAAAAGACAGTACAGTAAAACATGACCTACATTTTCCATTTTGGCCATCATTACACAGACACAGGCAATCTGAGACAGGTATACAGTGGTGCCTCACATAGCGACGTTAATCTGTGCAGCAAAAATCGCTGCTAAGCGATTTCGTCGCTATGCAATTTTAAAAAGCCCATAGAAATGCATTAGAACCTGTTTAATGTGTTCCTATGGGCAAAAAACTGACCTTAAAGTGAAGATCCTCCGTACGGCGGCCATTTTCGCTGCCTCTAAAGCAAGGAATCCGCACAAAAACACAGCGGGCGGCCATTTTGGAACCACCGATCAGCTGTTAAAAAATCATCACTTTGCGATGATCGGTAAGCAAAACAGGGAACCGATCATCACAAAGCGAAAAAACCGCATAGGAAACATCACAATGTGATCGCTTTTGCGATTGCAAAAAGTTCATCACTAAACGGCGCGCCCGTTAAGTGAGGCACCACTGTATGTTGAAATCTTCCCTCCATGAGCTTAGAGGGTAAAACATTATGTCTCGCTAATGTGAGGGCTCTTCTGGTCTTCATTGACATTGTGCTTGTCAAATATGAAGATATTGTAAAGGCATTATTAGTCACAATACTGTATTTGCCTAACTGGCTCATATGCTCTTGAAGTTCTATGTCCCAGATTCTTTGAGTGCTGCTTTAGCGTCAACATGCCCCATTACCAAAAGAACATTGGTGGAAAAGCCCCTTTGCCTTATTTCTTTTGTAAGTTGTAGTTTCCATGCTGATTGAAAGGAGTCAAAAAGTGACATCTGTGCCAAGCCTTCTGAAGATAAGCTTTAGCCAGTAATTAAACATGTGGACTTTGACACATGCTCTTATGGTGATTAGGCCAGCCTCTAGTCAAAGGGCTACATTAGGTGTACAGGGGGGTACAGTCAAAACAGATGTCAACAATTTGGTTTGAACTACCTCGAGAGGACGTAGGTCAGATAAAGCAAACAACTGGCACCCGTAGAGCATTTGAGCAACAACTTTAGCCTTGAAAACCTGAACGGCTGAGGGAATATGGTGACCCCCTTTGGTGTGAAAAAATCTTATTAATGTCGCTGCACTTTTATGAGCATTCAGTGCTGCATGCTTTATGTAGGGGCCCCAGGAACCCCAGGCATGAAGGATTATGCCCAAATATTTATAGCTCGAAACCTGCTCTATGGGATGACCACTGATAACCCAATTGTGCTTTACTCTTCTTCTACTGACCACAAGAACTTTCGTCTTCTGGTAATTAATTACTAACTGCTCTTGATTACAGTAGGAAGAAAGCTCCCTCAAGAGTCTTCTCAGTCCCACACATGTTAATGAGAGCAGAACCGCACTGTCTGCATAAAGCAGCACTGACACACAACATACTGTATTTTTTGCTCCATAAGACGCTGTTTTCCCCCCAAAAAAGTGGGAGGGAAAGTATGTGCATCTTATGGAGTGAATACCTTAAAAAAGGGTTCAGCCACCACCACCCAGAATACTCCCACTGCTGTGCTAGGAAGCCTCTGAACCAGCACCAGGGGCTGCTTGCCATGGCAGCCACATTAGACCTCACCACTCTGCCATCTGCACTGCTGACTTTCCAGGACCTGCCTCCTGGAAAACCAGCAGAGGGCAGTGAAAACACCCAAGGACCAAAGGGGAAAGAGTGATTCTAGAAAGACCAGGGGAAACCAGAAATGCAGTCCCCCACTACCACAAATTACGCAGTTGATTTTCCCACATTTGGGGAAATCACAGGGATCAACACATCCAAAGTGCAATAGTTGGCACTTACCCTGGGAAAACCACTTTTATAATAATGGTATATCCCCTGCCAGGTATGAGTTTGAGTGGCCCCTGAACTTCCTGCCCCTTTCTGTGCCCTGCCCTCCAAAGGCACGGTGACCCCCGGCTGCATCTCCTGCTCAGAACAGGGCTGCACAGCCCCAGTCCCGCAAGAGGCCAAGAGAGCTCCTCAGTGTTTTGGGGTGCCCCGCAGGACCTCCATCAGGGGCTGGGTGTTCCTCACACAATCCTCCAGTGCACAGGTATTAGCATATCTGCCTGCTTGCATCACCCAGATGGCTTCTCTATTGGAGAAGCAAAGCAGGAAGGAGTCTCTTTCCCTTCACCTTCTGCGGAGAAGTTAGACGTGACCAGCCAGATGTGGGGAGAAGCAGAGAGAGAGAGAGAGAGAGAGAAAGAGACAGAGAGAGAGGAGGGGAACAAAAGCTTCTAAAACAAATTACCAGTAAGTTTAATAGGCCTGAGAATGGCGAGGGGAAGATAAAGTTACTACTAAGAGCCTGCTGGATGGGGGAAAGGGGGCTAGAATAGCTGTCTGTAGTTCAGAGCTTGGCAGGAAACTGCATCACTTCCCCATAAATTAAGCCCAAATAGAAGTAATTTTGCAGATATTTAAAACATTAAGGGGCCGGGGGGGGGGGAGGCTAATGTGTATTGTTAGCCAAATTTCATTCTGAAGCACAGAAGGATTAAAAAGGCACTGAGCTCATGCAGAATAAAGTTCAAAAGAGAAACCAGTGACCTAACACTCCTTAATATATTACCACTAAGGCTACAGGTTTTATTTGGTGTATTAGCTAACCACAGTTTTTATGGATTCATCAGGAGTAAGGCAATTTGAATTGAAGAGGACAGTTCGTGTCATTCTGTCAACTCCTGCGACGTCGCTGAAACTAGTTGTATTGGCTCTTGCCTTTCCATTGGACTATTTCACTGAAGTGGAGAGGGGGGATTTTCTGCTTGGGTAACAGCCTATCCTCCATATTATTTTACCCAGGCTTCATGCCCTGGAGAGGATACTCCAGCTTTGCATACAATGTCAAAACACTAGACGCTGTTCCAAGTCCTCCATACAGAGCACGTTACCATAATCTCTCCAGACTGAAGGATGCCTATGAAACAAGGTGGGTGCCAGTATACAACCCTGTTTGACGCCATTGAAAACTGGGACTGGATTAGATAGAACTCCAGCTGAATTACAGCGGACTCTCAAGTGGGTATTTTCATAGTTGTCTCATTAGCAGAAGCAGTCGTCTGTCTATGTTCACAGATTCAAATTTAGCCCAAATTTATTTCTTGGGATAAAATCGAAGGCAGACTTAAAATCAATAAAAGCTGCATACAAGACTCCTCCCCCTTGGGGGGAGGAGTATTTATGTTATAGGATAAAGCCCTGATCCAAGGTAAACTTTCCTGGCCTAAATCGTGCCTGCACATCGCTCAATATATTTTCTGCTTGAAGCCAGTCCGAAAGCCTCCCCAGTAGCTATCTTGCATACAACTTACTGATTGTACTAAGTAGGCTCATTGGATGGTAATTAGCAGGGTCTCCGCTATTGCCTCATTTAAATATTGGTACTATAGTGGCTAATCCCGTCCTCTGGGATACAGACTGTATAATTAATCCAGGAAAACAGGGAGTCCAGGACTGAGGCCCACCAGTCCAGGTTGGTCTTCAAAAAGTATACTGGGATATAATCAGCACCAGCAGATTTAGCCGATTTTGTTTGGCAAATTAAAGAGGAAATTTCACCTGGGGATACTGGGGGCCAGTTTGGTAAACTTTTGTAAGGTGTAAACGAATCTGAAGCACTCTCAGGATGCACAGCGTAAATGCTCTGAAAATACTGTTCACAGACCATGGCAAGGATGCAGCAGTCAGGTTCGGGAGAGTATTCCTGCATACCCCCTGCCACAATCCTCCAAAAGGAGGCTGAGTTCTTAAGTTCAGATGCTAATATCAGTCGTTCCCATCTCTCTCTCTAAGCTTGATACTTTTTCCTCCCCTGGCCTGTCGCCCTCAATGCACCCATTTAGTAGGGCTAAATCCAGGTTGTTGTCCAGCTGCATTTTGCACAGACCTGCATAATTACAACCTAGATCCTTAGACTGTCTTGGGAATAGATATCAGGAGGGGATACAGTCCCGGGGGATCATATAAAATCGAGCATAGATAGCCTCATCATTTTTTCCAGTTCTGACATTAAAATCCCCTAGCACCATTAAGGAAGCTGTTGGATATAATAAAACCAGGCTACCAATATATTCTGTTAGTTTTGCCCAGTGGTCTTTAGACTGGGTACGAGCTGGCTGCGGGGGGGGATATAGACATTGACAAGCAACAAAGGCTGTGTAGTAAAATTCAAAATGGCCACCAGTGCTAGGTTACAGCTTGGCTGGAAGTTTACAACTGATATCTGCAGCTTCATTGTTGTAAGGATGGCCATGCCACCTTTTAACTGGCCACCTTTCACACTTGGAGCTGCTTACTTCCCTTTGGGACCACGTCTTTTGTAGTAATAAAATGTCAAAGTTAGAGACATACTCTGTAACGTATTTAACTGTATTTAACTTTTTTTGTAGTGTTGTCCAGTTTTACCTTGGGGAAGAGCACCTCATTTCGTTGCACCCACTTGTGAGCGCAATGACAAATAAATTTCTTATGTCTTATGTCTTAAAGGCAATATTCCCAACCTTGGCTTGCCACCCTGCAATATTCCAAGATAATATTTTTACAACAGACTTCCTGTGATGAATTATTCCAAGTTCATGAGTTAAGTGCTGCGGAGTCTCCTTATCGATGCCACACATTGGAGTTGATTCCTGACTGAGCGCTACGTTATGCGCTACCTGACTGTATAATCCCGCTTCATCTGTAGCATTTATATCCATGGCAGTTAAAGGAAGTACTTGTGTAGAGCTATCAGCCCTGCATCAGATCATTATGTTTTGAACATAATTGCCACCACTAAATTGGTACTTCCAGGCCTCATTGAAATTAGGGACTCCTTCAAACTTTTGTTGATCTATGCTCATCAGATTGGCAGTGGATCTCCTCCTCATCTCATTGTTTCCTCTAAATCTTCTCCTTTTATTTCTTTTATACCTGCCTCTGTTCCCTATGAGAACAGGAATAGAGATGCCCACAATGGAGTCAGAATTCGGAGGCCATTGGCTAACAGGTTGTTCTTTGGAGCGCTTGGTGTGCGAGCTCTGAGTGCGCCAGCCAGAAAAGACAGGGTCAGCAGACGTTCAGTGTATATCATCCTGGGGTATCTACTTGAGCTGGTTGATGTTTCCATTTTGCTGTCCTGTGTCGTTCTTTCCTTCCAGTACTGTGCTGTTGACTCTCTGATCCCTTTTTGGTTGCTTATCATTTGGATGGAAATTATTGATGTCACGCTTCTTCTTTGGGCTGGTTGTGGTAGAGTCCAATAATTTGAATAGGGGATTGAATTTCAAGCCCTTGGCTTTCTTGCCTGTATGTTTATGATCCACTTTGAACTTTACTGTCTTGCACTTGGTTTTATGAAGCAGAATTACCGATCTGTTCACCCACAAACTTTGCGAGTTGCCATTCTGAATACTTTAGCAGAAGCAGGGAAAGCATGCTTCTGTCCATCACCATGGGTGTAACCAACTATCATCCAGTTCATTTTTTCCAGGTGCATCTTCTACAGTGACCACTCTACTTAGTCATTATTGTAAGTTAAGTAAAAACAATGAACACTTTTTTAATATGTTAAAACAAGTTTTACTTAGCATAAACTTCCATGGACTGTGGCCTACTATTGGCTGTATGGAATGTGATCTGAATAGGCAGATATTTATATGCTTGGGTGGGAGCAGGTATAAAGAAACAGAAATTCAAAAGATATAAACACTAATGATTATTTTAATAGTGGTTCATAAAGTTATTGTGAGGTGACAAGAACAATTAGTATATTCAAGTAATCCACGTGTGAATGGCAATGACAAAACTCTGTATAATCCAAACTGAAACCCTATGGGTGTGCGCTGCTGAGATGCACCATTTCACATGCTGCAGAGGTGTACAATTTCTCACTGGGTGGTAGAACATGTCTGAATGCAAAGCGTGCTCTGTTATATCAAATATTCAACTACGCGTACTGAGGATAGCAGCAGAAAAAAGTCTGGCATAGAACTTCTGATTGTTTTCTGTATTTACGAATTATCTTATATGGGACGCATTTAATTGCTTGATGTACCCCATAGCCTGAAAGTGATGCAACATAACAAGAAATATGTTCTAGATGGCTCTTGCATATGGGTTTCAACTTAAGATTTGACAGTGCGGTAGCAGCAGAAAAAAGCAAAATATTTTTCAGAAGTTAAAAAGTGTCACTGCCAAGGTTCCCTTTAAGGTGCATGCCTGCATATGCGTGCACGCCTCCAACCCCTCCACACAGGGCTCCTCCTCCTCCTCCTCCATGCACCCACAGTAATTGTTTTCAGCCCCTCTGGTTCTGGCTGCGCGGTGGGGTGGCACTGCTTGTACAAAGGGCAGAGCCCCTCCCAGTGGGGTTGAAAATTAGAGGGAACATGCTGTGTTTGTTATAATGGTTTATGGCTAGGTTAATTTCCAAGTTCAAACCATTATTTTTTACGTTTTACTTCACTTACCAATCCCAAAATAGGACTGAAGGTACCTTTTCCTCATTGAAATCACAACATACACATGACGGCAACACTATTCTGTAAGAAACTTTAAAATACTTACAATCCGCATTTTTTAATGACTGCTTCTTTTTAGAAGGTTTGGAGATTACTTTGATCCGCTTACTCAGGAACACGCCAATATCGTCACTGTTGCCATAGAACATTTTTACAGATAACATGAAGTGCTTTCGCTTGTCAGAATCAGATATGTACAAGGTTTTAGCTGTGCAATAGTTCTGTGGATAAGGACAAAACAGCTTGTTTTGTATCTCCAAAAAGCAACCATAGATTAAATCACTCATGGATTAAATCACGGGAAGACTTTGTTAAACTGGAACAAAAGAGATTTCAATGACAAATTGTGATCTACTTCAGGTCATAATAAATATGAATCTCGTACTATCACAGGTGCTTATTATCCCTTTTCTTCCATATCGGGAGTGAACAATAAGTAAACTGGATTAATATCTTCTTTTGAATATATAGTGGTGCACCGCATAGCAACATTAATCCATTCCAGGATTAATGTCTCTATCTGGATTTTTCGCTATGCAGGGGGGAACCAAGCGAAGAATCCCCCATCCGGCCGCCATTTTCACCGCCTTGGTAAGCGAGGCGCGAAAACGCTGCGGGCGGCCATTTCCCCCCAGCTGGGCAGTGCAGGCTTCGGAGAGACTGCGGGGAAAACCCTCCCCCGTGGTTGCTCCTAAGCCTTCTCCCCCAGCTGGGCAGCGCTGGCTTCGGAGCGCTGGCTTCGGAGAGACCGCAAAGAAAACCCTCCCCCGCGGTCGCTCCGAAGCCTTCTCCCCCAGCTGGGCAGCGCTGGCTTCGGAGAGACCGTGAAGAAAACCCTCCCCCGTGGTCGCTCCGAAGCCTTCTCCCCCAGCTGGGCGGCGCTGGCTTCGGAGAGACCGTGGGGAAACCCTCCGCCGCGGTTGCTCTGAAGCCTTCTCCCCCAGCTGGGCGGTGCAGGCTTCGGAGAGACCGCAGAGAAAACCCTCCCCCGCGGTCGCTCCGAAGCCTTCTCCCCCAGCTGGGCAGCGCTGGCTTCGGAGAGACAGCAGGGGAGGGCTCCCCCGCGGTCCTTCTGAAGCGCAGGTCAGCTGGGGGAAAATGGGGCCTATGGGGAAAAAGGGAAAAGCGATTTTTCCCCATAGGAAACATCGCAATGCGATCGCTTTTGCGATCGCAAAATCCACATCGCTATGCGGATTTGTCGTTAAACGGGGCGCTCGTTATGCGAGGCACCATTGTATTATCTTTGCAATAATATAAAAACAACAAAGAGTTTCAACAAGGTAGTCAGTAACATTCTAGCCAAGTTCACACAGTTCACTGTACAGTAGTGAACTTTCAATAACTAATGTTCATGCAGCCTGCTGACTCCTGCTTCTCACCTTACAAGAATGGGTCAAACTGTAAGGGTACAGACTACCATGAAATGAACAGAAAGCCAGGGTTTGCTTTTGGTTTATAAAGCCTGGTTTTCTTGGAGCATAAAACCAGGGTTATGGATTCTGATGTAACAGTAAGGTGTCAATTTCTGGTTAGATTCAGCCATACACACAAAGTAAAAGCAAATGTGCTGATTGCGCCTGAGTGCATAGACAGGACTGAGACACCATATGACTTTTCACATAGTACATAAAATGTTACCAAAATATAACAGCATACTAAAAATCAGAAAGTTAAGTACATGATGAGTCAGAAAAACTGAACAGGTAAATCTAGATACTGAGATTGAGCTGAAGGTTTAGCTCTATTCCAAGTGAGTGAAATGTAGGTTTCTGCATGTGTCTGTAGGTGTATGTCTGTGGGGAGGAACTCCCAAAATTCTGGTTGGGGAACTGTAAGAAAATTTTGGGAGCTGGCATTCAAAAAACACACACCACACAACTGAATGGCACTTCCCTTTTAAATTCTTTAGCAAGTTAGAATCACATAACCTGCAAATTAATAAGCAATTTATTCACAACCTCCATTGGTTGCATATCTGACAATAACATTATGATTTATCTTAATCAAGTTTGCACATTGCTGTAAAATATGCAATTAACTACTAAAATATTTCAGATATTTTTGTTGCTCAGACAGCTTCATAGATTTGTTGCAATTAAATTATGCAAGCTCCCAGTTTTTACAAGTGGCATGTTTGGCCACATTTTTGATCCAAATAATACCATCAGGAAAGGTCACAGCCACACATGCATCTGGAATCCCTTTTAAAATGTCATAACACCCAAAATTATTTTAATTGTAAAAATGAATAAGTATTAAGGTGTATTCACTGAGGTTTACAGTTGGTGTTTGTAACAAATGGAAAGTCTACATATATAGTTTGTTTATTCTGAGAAAAATCATCTAGTGTGGTGGTCCCCAACCTCCAGTCCATGACCCGGTCCAGGCCATGGCCTTGGCAGGACCGGACAGCGGAGACAGATCTCCCACCCCCCTGCACGCACAGATGCATGCATATCCCCCCCACACATGGAAGCACTCATGCTCCATATGCATGCACTGACACACGCACATACTCCACACACCCCGCATGCACACAGATGCATGCATATCCCCCACACACATGCACACCCCCATGCACACATGGAAGCACTCATGCCCCATATGCATGCACTGACACACACACATACTCCACACACCCCGCATGCACACACGCCCCCGCCCCATACACGCACAGACATACTCCCACATGCATACACGCACGGACGTTCAGACACAACCCCCGCCCGCACATTAAACCAGTCCACAGTGCCAAAAAGGTTGAGGACCACTGGTCTAGGGTAAGGAGGGAACAGGAGACTTGTGTTCAGGACATTAACTTGTCAACCTGGCCTAAAAATGATTCAGATGACCTTCAATACATAAACATATTCATAAAGTACGCAAATGTACCCAGCTTACCTTTCCTTCTAGGTTTAACTGTTGCATTTCTTGGTCACTATTTCCTATTCCAATAAAGGCGCATGGTTGAGATTCTTGCTCAGAGCACCCATCTCGTTCCATCTGTTCTTTTTTCTTCTTCCACCCACTACCCATAAGATAGACACATGGCGGGGGGCAAAAAAACCTGAAGGTTAAGTTCAGAGCATTAGAGTCATTTCTTATTAGTGGTCAAAACTTGTTCTCTGTGCAAATACACATTTAGAAAAATCTGCACCAATTAAAACTATAGCCTGCAACATATATACTTTAAAAAAAGAGGATCTACAGGTATTACCGTATTTTTCGCACCATAAGACACTTTTTTCCCACAAAACGGGGTGGAAAGTCTGTGTGTCTTATGGAGCGAAGAAAACATATTATATTTTCCAGTTTTCTTCTCCTAAAAAATTGGTGCGTCTTATGGAGCGAAAAATACGGTACTTATTTTGTGCAATTTATTTGCTCCTGCCTAGTAGTCAAATAGCAGAAAATTATCTTTGACTGGGGCATGAAAGTCTCAGTTCAAGATTTTACAAGTGATTACTCATAACTTTTCTTACTCCTTTTAAGATGAAGCTGAGATTCTCAGGATGAATTTAGAAAAAGTAGTATGGTAGAATTATAGAATATACACAGTCCTACCCTTTCCCAAAAATAAGCCCTACCCTGAAATTAAGCCCTTGTATGATTTTTCAGGATGCTCATAATATAAACCCTACCCCCATAATAAGCCCCAATTAAGTGAAACGCCATCCTCCACCATTGTGCAGCAACCAGAAGAAGATGACATGACTGTATTTGCATAATTGTAGATTGTTATACATGAAAACAATAAAACATCCCCTGAAAATAAGCCCTAATATGTTTTCTGGAGCAAAAATTAATGTAAGACTCTTGTCTTAATTTTGAGGAAACACGGTAGCTTCATAACACAATACGAAATTATATGCACTGCTACATATTGCTAGTAAGTTGTGGTCATGATGCAGCTCTTTGGTAAACCACACCAAATTCAATGGGAGAAAATCAAACATGTTCTTACTCTTTTTCCTCTGACAAGATGCTTAACGTCATCTGGCTCATATCTAAATTTAAAGTCATAGTAAAGACATATCTTCTCTTACAGTAACTGCTTCTATGGCTCCATGAAAGGCTACATTATTGTAAGGCGGACAATTTTACATTGCAATATTTACATATTTTAAAGTACAGTGACGAATGGAAAAATCTGAATTTTTAGAACAAAATACAAAACAAAACATACACAAATTCATCTGTGACATGACTCATTTTGACAGGTTTTAAATGACTAGATAAAGAATTCCAAAGCACAACTGAATTTATATGTAGACAGATGGAGCTCCATTCAAAGCATTAGAGCATGTTTATTGCTAAGTCTCAAGCAACTTCTTTTCAGCCATGAATTTAAACACATACACAGACACAACAGAATCAAATCTATGTGTATGAATCCTACAAAACTGATTTTGCTATTTTTTACTGCACTTCATCAAATTCTATTTCAGAAATAAAAAAAGAACATATTTCAGAACAGTAAAATACCAAGCACCATTTGCAAAACACTTTTCACACAGTTGCAAAACTGAATAATGGAATATATAGTTCCACGCACCAATTATGTTCCTTACCTCTTTTCATTTCCATAGGACTTCTGTGCAACTTTTGCATGAAGGATTAGTACTGTTTGATCACCTCGCTCCTTTAAGTAGTTTCTCATAGCTTCCCTAAGAATTTAAAACCACAATAAAATAGAAATACTTACTAAAAATCAAAACATGAGAATAAAACAAAAATACATAATATATTTAGACCTAGTTAATACCAACAGTGGATGAAGTTGCAAAACTGTTCCTACACTATTTTTTTCAGACTCTATGTGGTGACTGCATGGATAAATCCCTTCCCAATGGGAATACTGCTGCAAGTAAAAAAACAAGTGTATAGAGTAAAAGCTAAGCTAGAATTCTTTTTCAAGAGTTTTGCAATCTCATCTGCTTCTAGTTAATAATACATAATACAAATCTCACCTGGTGAGTCGTTTAGCTGGAGGTCGCTCACCAAATTTCCTGTAATTACAAATGAAAAGATGGTAAAAAGTTTTGCTGTCTTTTCAAATATGCGATTCTCAGTTCCCCTATTTCTTGAATCTTCCAAAATTTTGTAGAATACAGTGGTGCCCCGCACAGCGAGGCTGTAGAATATTTATGTCAACATGGTTTATTTCAACAAAAATATACATACAGGTGTTCTTATCCCATGTAGTTTTTCATTTTTATATATACTGTAATTTTTTTTTCTGACAAAGACTAAAGCAGAGTTTGGAAAAGTTGTGTTTTTGTGCTATGATTCTCAGAACTCCCCCAGCCAGTGGCAACGTTGGCTAAGAGATTTTAGGAGTTTCATTCTTAAAAATAAAATAAAATAAAAACTCTCCAAGCCCTATAAAGATATGAGCATTCCCACTGCTAGTCAAATATCTTCTAGAACTATCAATGTGAGTCAGAATGAGATCCACCATGCTACTACACTGACAGCAGTTTTTAAAACTGCATGGATTATAGATATAAACCAAAACTGTTGCATGATTGTTATATAATACAAGTAACCATATAGTAATTATAAAACCATTTTAGTAATTAATATGTTTTACTATTACACTAGAGAAAATGGTTCCAAATGGATTTTCAACACTATTTGGAAAATAATCATGTTTTTTAAAACCACATTTTAGAACTCATACTCCATTCACACAATCAGTAATTTTTTTCTACTGTGTATTTTCCTACTTTTTTCTATAGCACTTGGACATGAATGCATCCAGACAGAAATCCACACAGAGACCATGAAATCTTCCATGAGAAGCTCGGCTGCCTTCTTCACTGTGGCACCTACACTTGATATCAGTTCCCAGTTGTGCTTCGCCTGGCTCCCTCCCTCCTAACATTTAGAAGGCTGCTGAAGCTGTTGTTTTTCAGAGGCTTTTTCATGCAACTCTAGTTGATTCTTATGCCTCCTATTCTGCCTTTTATCTGGAACCTATGCTTCTTGTGATATGCTGTGTCTAGATGCTTAATTGTTATACTGATAATTCTTTTTTCTTGTGTTTTATTTTACCTAATGTTGTAAACAGAATAGTGCTTTTCACTAATGGGGTGGTATATAAACAGTTAAAAAAACAATTTACCTATCATCTTCCACTATATAAGATACATTTCTATTTTAAAACCAAAGTTTTTTTAAAAAAAGTGTAATACTAGAATTCATTTGCCTGTTGAGACAGCTGCATAATTATTCATTTTGGCATTTATCCATGTCCTGCTTCATTCGCAGTTCTGACAAAACAGATGTGTTTACTAGTCTCAATATTTTTTTTCTGTGCTCGTTCCCTGCATTTGATGCTTATATATTTACTGAGAATACATCTATTTTGTATATACTGTATACTCCAAAAATACAACCTATAAAAGCCTTACAATAATTTCTTACAATCTTTACAGTTTTAAAATCTGTTCTTACCCTCGTTCTTTTCTCTTATTTTATACTGTGCTTGGGATATATGTCTGATCTATTATAATTCCTCTATTAAATGAAGCATAATCTATCTCTTTAAAAAACCTAGCTACTGAAAAATCTACTGAAAATTGCACAAATGCAGCATTTAACTCCTTCACCAGTAAATCTTCACCAGCTTCAGTGTGTGTTTGGGTGTCCAAGTCTACATAACCATCTTCTAGTTGTTCTTTTACATGAAGCTTTGCACTCTATAAATATTATAATTAATAATATACCGTATTTTTCGCTCCATAAGACGCACCTTTCCATAAGACGCACCGATTTTTTAGGAGAAGAAAACAGGAAAATATAATCTGTTTTCTTCGCTCCATAAGATGCACAGACTTTCCACCCCCCTGTTTTGTGGGAAAAAAGTGAGTCTTATGGTGCAAAAAATACAGTAAATATTTAGTTGCACACTGGCAGTAAAAGCAGGAGAAACTGGCCAGCTAGGGAATGCATCTGGTTCATGGATCAGAAGTTCCCATCTCCAGTCTAGTACCTGTTTTATCCTACTTTTGTCTTGTCATGGAATTTTAGACAACTTGCACAGTGACTCTGTAACCAAATGTTGTCCAGGTCCAGAACTGCTTAGCTGAACAAGATGGTGGCGACATCATGAACCTTCAGACCAGATATGGGAAGATAACTTTTTTGGACTACAGCTGTGAGAAACCCTCATGCAAATAAATAAAGTGGCTCCAAAGCCAAAAAGGTAGGGAGAAAGGGCGGAAATTTTGAATTTCCTGCCCTTCCTCCCTTCTTCCCTGCCTTTGGAGCTTTCAAAGGGCTTCCTCCGATGTCGGGGAAAGCCCTTTGAAACCTCTGAAGGCACCGATCGTGGCGGCGAGGACCCCCAGGGAGGTCTCCCATGGTGGCATGCAAGCCCTGGGAGACCTCCCTGGGGGTCCCCGTTGCCGCGATGGGCGGCTTTGGAGCTCTCAAAATGCTTCCTCTGACATCGGAGGAAGCCTTCTGAAACCTCCGAAGACAAAAAGGCTGGGAGAAAGGGTGGGAAGTTCGAACTTCCCGCCCCTTCTCGCTTCGGAAGCAAGCCGGGCAGCCAGGGAGAAATCCTTTCACCTGATGCTGAGTCCCCTTCACACCAGCTGAGCTCAGCCCAGCGCGAAGGGGACTCAGCATCGGGTGAAAGGAGGGAGCTGATTTCCTCCGACATCGGAGGAAGCCTTTTGAAAGCTCCAAAGGCAGGGAGGAAGGGCAGGAAATTTGAATTTCCCGCCCTTTCTCCTTGCCTTTTGGGTTTGTAACCCGATCTGCATTCGCAAATAGGGTATACTACTTGCGATGAGATCGGGTTCGTAACCCGAAATGTTTGCAACTAGGGCTGTTTGTAAGTGGAGGGCCCACTGTACTTGAAGATTGTCATGCAGAGGGACAGGATCTGTTCTCAATCATCCCAGACTGCAGAACACATAATAAGTGGCTCAAGTTACAGGAAGCCAGATTTCAGTTGAATATCAGGGGGGAAAAATCCTGACAGCGTAGTACAAAAATGGAACCAGTTACATTGGAAGCTGGTAACTTTCTCCACTTCAAGACAACCATCTCTCAGATAAATTTTGATCTGGATTCCTGCATTGTGTTTGGACTCAATGGCCTTAAAACCCCTTTCAAGTCCATTATTCTATGATTCTATCAATAGAGCTGGATAGCTCAGCAGTTTAAGAATCTGGCTGCAGAGCCAAAGGTTGGGAGTTCAATTCTAAGATTATTATAATATCTTCTATTACTTTCCTGCTCAATACCATAGTATTTGCAGCTCTTTGTTTGTGCTGAAATTATATATTTATTATATAAATAATAAATGTTCTATATCCACAATCAAATCCAAAATTCAACTATTGTTCAACACATCATTCAAGAAGAAACACAAAACAGTTGCTCTTTTGAGAGTCCTTCTCATTCTGATAAAGTCCACCTCAAAATATTTTCTACTGCATCTCTATATAGCATACATCCAGGATGTACTTATTTTAATTATTTTTCTTTCAGCTTTTCTTTTCCTCCCTTTCCTGCTATTTTTTCTCCAGTTCACTAAAATCCTATTAAAATTACTAATATTTCCTAGCCCTGAAATGCTGGTTGGGTTGTTCAGTAAGTTGGTAGTTCAGTTCCCCACTGTCCCTCCTACGAATCAGCCTGTGTAGCCGTAGGCAAACTGTACAGTCTGAGAGTGCTCCCCAAAGAAGGGAACAGTAAGCCACTTCTAAGTATTTTATACCTTTAAAAAACCCTAGAAAGGGTTGCCATAATTCAGAATTGACTTGACAACACATAAGTAGTATTATGAGTCCTGAAATATGTTTGCTCAGATGACAAATTATCATTTCTAATCTTGATTTTCATCTAGCTGTACTACCTCTTTCTCTCACACACACATGTTTTTCTAAAGTTCTTGATTCCCTTCTCCTTCATTCTTGGACTCATATTTAACCATAAATTATCTCATTTTGGTAAGATAATTATCATTCTTTCTGCTTTTCATATGAAAATAAATAATTTAGTCCAAACAGACTGGTGATGCAGGGATAGAGTGCTCCAACCACAGAAATCAGGCAGCCTGCAAGAAACAGTAACCATTTCCTTCATTGCCCAGCATAATTCTGAACAAGCTAGTGACTTTTTTAGGGTTATGTAGAAACTAAATAAGCCAGCTCATTACCAGTTATTGAAAATCTATAGGAATGGAGTTTCAGTTAAACAATTTTTTTTAAAAAAATCTGTTTTAATTAGCAATTTTCATAATCCAGCAATTACCCAATTTACTACCACTTCTAATTTGACATTGCAGCATACACAATAAAACAGAAGGTGGTTTGGATCCTAAGCTAGATTCCAGAACAAGACTGGCAAAAGAAAAGGTAAATCAATGCAGGTAGCATCCTAAAGATTAACTGTTTTTATTTCAGTGTTAACTTTCATGGATCAAAATCCACTTTCTCAGATACAGGAGTGAAAATACTGTATAATGCTTGTACAGTGGCGCCCCGCATAGCGATGTTAATCCATTCCAGATTAATCGTCGCTATGCAAAAACATCGCTAAACGGATCGAAAAACCCCATAGGAGCGCGTTAAACTTAGTTTAATGCATTCCTATGGGGCCCAAACTCACCGTTCAGCGAAGTTCCTCCATAGCGCTGCCATTTCCGTGCCCTCGGTAAGCGAGGGCAGGGCGTGAAAACACTTGTGGCGGCCATTTTGGGCACTCGGTGGCCATTTTGGAACCGCCGATCAGCTGTTGTAAAAACATCGCAATGTGAAGATCGGTAAGCGAAACGCTTACCGATCATCGCAATGCAAGTTTTTGCCTATCTAAATGTCGCAATGCGATCGCTTTTGCGATCGCAAAAGCGACATCATTATGCAGATTCGTCGTTAAATGGTGCACTCGTTAAGCGAGGCACCACTGTATATTTATACATGATGGTTGGATAAATCAGCAAGTTGAGTACCTAGCTGTGGAGTCTGAGATCAGGAGAGTGAGATTCTGA